ACTTGTTTGTTTATAATGCCTTTGAATATTTGTATAAACCAAAGGAGAATCAAAGGACATAAATAAAACAGGGTGCGCAAAAGAAAATAGGTGTGCAAAAGAAGAAAATGGGTGTGCGGAAATCATTGCCTTAAATATAGCAAAAGATCAATTCTTAGTACAACTTGAAAATATGAACAAACTGTTATTGCAGAAATATTGGGTTGATAAGAATTCCAACAACTGTTTTACGGTGTATGCAAGAGATCTCTTGATCACTTGGGGCGGAGATGGTCGTTACTGGCGCTGGAACACCGTAGAAGACGGGTATCAAAAACTTCAATCCGTATATCACAATTGGTTATTGATAACTGCTATATAGTAATCGGTCCTAACTTAGGGTTTAAATGCAGTGATGACCGCATTGATGCTGCTGAACTGTTAGATGCATGTTGGCTAGAAGTGCACGGGAAGTTTGAAACCGCATACCTGTCACCCGGAACTCTCTATGAAGTTGTGTTTGTGGTCAAGCTGAATGCTAAAGAATATGGATGGGAAGAACCAGTCGAAATCACTCTCGAAACCCCTGCTGGTGACAAGCACACTCGTAAGGTTGATCTGATGCAAAAGCAGAGAGGAAAATGGGTTGAGATCCCAGCCGGCGAATTTAGAGCATCGCCTGAGCAGTATGGCTACATGATTTTTTCACTCCGTCAACTTAGTGGGCAATGGAAGAAAGGGTTTGTTATCAAGGGTGCCGAAATTCGTCCTAAAACTAATAAATAAGTTACAGAGTACTCGGCAACTTTGCTTATGAGCAGAGAAATAACGTTCTAGTTTTTTTTTTTTTTCCTTTTAATGAAGCAAAATTAAAGGAATGTATATGTAAGAAATGATGGGAATAGAATAATGAAAGGGAGATACAATTTTAACTACTGCCCAAAATTCACATTTTTCTTTCTGCTTTAGTAGAGTGACTGCAGTGATTTCACATAGGATCAATTCTTGACCAAAAAGATCGATCCATCAACGTTATCGACAATTATTTCTGAATTAGATCAATTCAAACCTACTCCACTTGCCTAAAGCAACATAGGAAAACATGTTATGCTGTGATTAAAACCCTAAAGCAATATTCATATCAGCAAAGGAAGACATGCTGCAATAAAATCTATAATGTGCGCTTGAAATGTGACTTACAGCGAACGTCACCAATGCAACAATGAGAGACCACCATCCTGTGGAAGATATGTTCTCGGCACGATTGGCAAAAACAAAGAAAAAAGAACTGAGAGGTGCATCAAATGTCTGTTGTGTAATCTTCGGGCTTGTACCACAAAGAGAAATCGATTTCTTTGCTCTTCAACTTCTCTGTTGCAGGTGCAATCCTCTCTAAAAGCTGCATTTTACAAGAATTAATTCTAGAATTTTTTTATTTAAAACCACTAGTAAATTTAAAATGATTACAATCTACGGCATCTGCTCTACTACTCATTCCCCCCGACCTACCCTAACCTGAAAATTGGAGAAAGGGAAAGGAAAGCTTGCCACTTCATGAGTAGAAACATACATCAAGTTAAGTAAACTGAATTAGCCCTTGACTCTCCATAAATGATTATATAACTAGTGAACAAGATTAGTGGTAGTAATGGAAAGGCAATGAAAAGTTAAGATCATGCATATATAACCATGGTTTGATCTTAACACTTGAGATTCTGTAATTAGATTCTGGATAAAGCAGAAGACTAACCTAGCCATGCAGCACACCATTGGATACCAAGACAGATCTATCAACTACAGAAAATTTTCCACCATCCATGCACGTAACCTTTCCTCCAGCCTCTTCAACTATCTGCTCAAAATTGCAATACCAAATTCTATGAATAATTAAAATCACCCATCTGGTCACCATGATTCTGCTGAGAGACAAGTGAACTATAATTTTCATGCATCAGTTTAAGCATCTTGTCGCGAGATTGTCTGAAGCAGCACTTCCAAAGACTTGCCATAAAAACATAAAAGATATATCTAATGACAGAAAGTCTATTATTTGTATGTTCTTCCCGTACAAACTATTCATACTGGAACTGAACTGTCAATTGGTATATTATTTTGTTACGTGCTTGATTTCCGATGGATACTTTGAGTTATCACAACTCTTTCCAAGTATTAAGTTCATCTAGAAAAATTAAAAAAGAACTAAACCATGCGTAACAAAGTATCAATTATTAGTTAGGCTCTCGTAACTAAGTAAAAACAAAAACATATTGAAAAGAAAAACCTGAACAATATATTATATAATGCAAATAAAAAATCAGACCAAATTGCCTTGGGGGGAAAAACTAAAATTGAGAGAGCAAACAAAATTCTCTGCCGATGTATTATGTTTCAACAAAACCAAAACATGAAGGTATTCAATTGAGTATTATAACAATAGACTTCCAAATATTATTATTACACAAACACCTAACACATGAGTTTGTGAGAAAACAAAATATTACCAAAACACCAGCTGCCATATCCCACGGCTTTAGTCGATATTCCCAGTAAGCTTCTACAATCCCGAGAGCTACATGGCACATGTCTACTGAAGGGGAGTACTGGAAAATCAAATAGATATCTTAACATATAATGGAATCATGCAGGCAACATGTCAAATAAAATCTACTATATGTGATCAGTACCACGGCAGCAGCAACAGGTTTTCCTTGAAATAAAACTCCAACAGAAACTGCAAAGCTAGGATAACCATGTGCGAAATTTGTTGTTTCATCTACGAAGATATCAGAGGTTAGATAAGACAAAACTAAGAATTGTCAGGTTACTCTTATAAAAGGTATCTGGATATAAAACGCTACCCCAGCACCACCCTAATAGCTCATTCCAATTTCATAACAGCCATCAGAAAGTTCATCTCTAAACATTCCTATATGTATGAGTATATGAACTTCCGGCTATATACATAAACATATATTTACTAATTAAGTAATTTTGCTACTATTAGTTATGGAAAAAGTAAAAGTCAAAAGTATTGAGGCAAGAATTATGAAGGCTGAAAAATTTACAGTAAATAATGTTCCGAAACACCAATTTCATGAAACCATATCATACTTGATGGAGAGAGAACCAAAAGAGAAATATAAACTGATTTTTTCCAAAAGTTTTCATTACAATAATTTCGGGAGCATGTATAACCTACATGCCTGCAATTCCCCAATACAAAAGTGCCACCTGGACAATGACTGACAATTACTGAAACCTTCTACTAAGTATTGGCCCATTACAATCGAACCCCATACTTTTAACACCTTACAATTACGCCTTTAAACTACCTTACACTTTAGTCCTCACTACTATTAACTAAAATCTCACTGTGACTAAGGCAATCACGATTAGTTCATAACAATACCTTCCCCTTAAAGAACCTTGTCCACAAGGTTTCAGAGAGGAAATGAGGGGTATTTGGCTTTGAACTCATCAAAATCCTCCCAGGTCGCCTCTGATTCCTCTTGCTATTGCCACTGTACTAGTAATTGAACTCCAGCAACATCTCTTTCCTTATAGATTCTCCTTGCCAACACTGCGACAAGTACATTCCCTACCAACCCATCTTCAACAACCTGTGGCAGGACAGTCTGTGGTGTCACTCTAGTTCCCAAGTGTTTCTTCAATTGACTCACATGGAACACAGGGTGGATTTTTGTGTTTGGTGGTAGGTTCAGTTTATAGGCCACATTTCCAACCTTCTCACAAATCTCATAAGGACCGTAGTATCGTGGCAGAAGCTTATGGTAGTTATGAGGAGATAGGGTCTGCAATTGATAAGGAATCAGTTTCAAATACACAAAATCCCCAACTTTAAATTGCCTCTCCATTCTTTTCTTATCTTGCTGCATCTTCATGCGATTCTGAGCCATTTCCAGGTTGTGTTTTCAAATACACAAAATCATTAATGTTGTTGAATTTATTATTTTCTTCAATCAAGTTTTACTGTTCTTTATTCTCTTGATTATCAAGTTTTATTGATATGCACTCTCAATCTTAGACTTATGACTGCAAACACTAGTACATTTACGTCTAAGAATGTGAGATGAATAATATTTAAGTAATGTTTGCATATTTTTTTTAATATTAATTTTTAATGATATTTAATGTAGAAATAAACTTTTTTATGTATTTAACAAATTCTTTTTATACATATCAAATACAAAAAGTTGAGAATCCAAAAACTTTAGCAAAAAATTCTTAGGCCAACCTAGTGCTTTCCCACATGGTCGAAATTCCAAATTAAAAGAAAAGGAATTCATGCTTGATATCATGCTTTCCCACATGGTCGAAATTCCAAAGTAAAAGAAACAGAGTTCATGCCAATCTGGTCCTCTGGTGACTTGTGGAATTGACTAATTTAGCCCTGTCTTCCTATCTATATAAAGTTAAAACATAATTGAATAACTACATAAAAAGATGGGGACTAGGCGCTCTCTGGGTCAACACTCTAGCCCATTGCCCCCGCCACCCCCACCTCCGCCCCCACCCCCGCCCCCGCCCCCACCTCCGCCCCCCCACCACCGCCCCCACCGCCCCCACCACCCCCACCACCTCCCCCTACACCATAAGCTAAGTTGACTCCCTCTACCATCGCAGCCGCAACAAAAGCAAAGCTAACTCCCCCTAACCCTGCGGTTTCACTAGAAGCAAAGTCAACTCCCCTACCTCGCGGCCGCACCAGAAGCAAAGCCAACTCCCTCTAACCTCGCGGCCGCAGGAGCACAGCAAGTGAAATAGCTCCCACATAATTATAAAGCCATTGTAAAAGATTCTGACTCACCTATCAACGAGCCCTCCCCTAGAGAACTCCTTGAGGAGCTCCAAAAAGGAATTTTCTTAGACGAAATGAAAAAGGTGAAATTCCTGCATCCAACTTTCTGACAATTTTAAATTAATTTTCCTCTTCGTTTTCCAGTTACTGCGTGAAATTGTTCTAATTCTTAGTAAAAGGTAGCTCCAAATGATCAAAACTTAAGCTGCAAGTCATCGAGAAATGATTTTTGCACGCTCATTTTCTCCCTTTGGACACACTTGTTTGTTTATAATGCCCTTGAATATTTGTATAAACCGAAGGGGAATCAAAGGACATAAATAAAACAGGGTGTGCAAAAGAAGAAAATGGGTGTGAGAAAATCATTGCCTTAAATATAGCAAAACTCTTGGTACAACTTGAAAATATGAACAAATTGTTATTGCAGAAGTATTGGGTTGATAAGAATTCCGAACAACTGTTTTACGGTGTATGCAAGAGATCTCTCGATCACTTGGGGCAGAGACAGTCGTTACTGGCGCTGGAACGTAGAAGACGGGTATCGAAAACTTCAATCCGTACATCACAATTAGTTATTGATTACTGCTATAGTAATCGGTCCTAACTTATGGTTTAAATGCAGTGGTGACCCCATTGATGTTGCTGAACTGTTAGATGTATGTAGGCTAGAAGTGTACGGGAAGCTTGATACCGCATACCTGTCACCCGGAACTCTTTATGAAGTTGTATTTGTGGTCAAGCTGAATGCTAAAGAATATGGATGGGAAGAACCAGTCGAATTCACTCTCGAAACCCCTGCTGGTGACAAGCACACACGTAATGTTGATCTGATGCAAAAGCAGAGAGGAACATGGGTTGAGATCCCAGCCGGTGAATTTAGAGCATCGCCTGAGCAGTATGGCAACATGATTTTTTCGCTCCATCAACTTGGTGGGCAGTGGAAGAAAGGGCTTGTTATCAAGGGTGCCGAAATTCGTCCTAAAACTAAAAAGTAAGTTGCAGAGTACTTGGCAACTTTGCTTATGAGCAGAGAAATAACGTCCTAGTTATTATTATTATTATTATTATTATTTTAAAGAAGCAAAATTAAAGGAATGCATATATAAGAAATGATGGGAACAGAATAATGAAAGGAAGATACAGTTTTAAATACTGCCCAAAATTCACATTTTTCTTTCTGCTTCATTAGAGTGAATGCAGTGATTTCACAGAGGATCAATTCTTGACGAAAAAGATCGATCCATCAACATTATCAACGATTATTTCTGAATTAGATCAATTCAAACCTATTCCACTTGCCTAAAGCAACATAGGAAAACATGCTATGCTGTGATTAAAACCCTAAAGCAATATTCATATCAGTAAAGGAAGACATGCTGCGATGATTTATATTATGTGCGATTGAAATGTGACTTACAGCGAACGTCACCAATGCAACAATGAGAGACCACCATCCTGTGGCAGATATGTTCTCGGCACGATTGGCAAAAACAAAGAAAAAAGAACTGAGAGGTGCATCAAATGTCTGTTGTGTAATCTTCGGGCTTGTACCACAATGAGAAATCAATTTCTTTGCTCTTCAACTTCTCTGTTGCAGGTGCAATCCTCTCTAAAACCTGCATTTTACAAGAATTAATTTCTAGAATTTTTTTATTTAAAACCACTAGTACATTTAAAATGATTACAATCTACGGCATCTTTTACAAGAAACTATAGCACTACTCAGAGCTCTGTTACGGACTTACAGTAAGCATCTGCTCTACTACTCACTCCCCCGACCTACCCTAACCCAAAAATTGGAGAAAGGGAAAGGAAAGCTTGCCACTTCATGAGTAGAAACATACATCAAGTTAAGTAAACTGAATTAGCCTTTGACTCTTCGTAAATGGTTTTATAACTAGTGAACAAGATTAGTGGTAGTAATGGAAAGGCAATGAAAAGTTAAGATCATGCATATGTAACCGTGGTTTGATCTTAAAACTTGAGATTCTGTAGTTAGATTCTGAATAAAGCAGAAGACTAACCTTGCCATGCAGCACACCATTGGATACCAAGACAGATCTATCAAATACAGAAAATTTTCCGCCATCCATGCACGTAACCTTTCCTCCAGCCTCTTCAACTATCTGCTCAAAATTGCAATACCAAATTCTATGAATAATTGAAATCACACATCTGGTCACCATGATTCTGCTGAGAGACAAGTGAACTATAATTTTCATGCATCAGTTTAAGCATCTTGTCACGAGATTGTATGAAGCAGCACTTTCAAATGCCATACAAACGTAAAGGATATGTCTAATGACAGAAAGTCTATTATTTGTAAGTTCTTCCCGTACAAACTATTCATACTGGAACTGAACTGTCAATTGGTATATTATTTTGTTACGTGCTTGATTTCCGATGGATACTTTGAGTTATCACAACTCTTTCCAAGTATTAAGTTCAACTAGAAAAATTAAAAAGAATTAACCCATGTGTAAGAAAGTATCAATTATTAGTTAGGCTCTCGTAACTAAGTAAAAACAAAAACATATTGAAAAGAGAAACCTGAACAATATATTATATAATGCAAATAAAAAATCAGACCAAATTGCTTTGGGGAAAAAAACTAAAATTGAGAGAGAAAACAAAATTCTCTGCCGATGTATTATGTTTCAACAAAACCAAAACATGAAGGTATTCAATTGAGTATTATAACAATGGACTTCCAAATATTATTATTACACAAACACCTAACACATGAGTTTGTGAGAAAACAAAATATTACCAAAACACCAGCTGCCATATCCCACGGCTTTAGTCGATATTCCCAGTAAGCTTCTACAATCCCAAGAGCTACATGGCACATGTCTACTGAAGCTGCACCGAGCCTTCTAACACCCTAACCATTATAATGTAGGGATAAAACCAAGGGGGAAAAAGAGTTAAAGTCATAAACAAGAAGAGAGAGATGGAAATAGGAAGTTTATTAATCCTAAACCTAAAGCTCAAATAAAAATTGCTTAGCACTAAAAAAGAAATGTTATTACCCTGCTGACGTCGGTGAACTCTTTAAATAACTCTATGTTGGTGATCCATACGTCATCATGTTCATAACCAAATCCAGTAACAAGAAGAGATCGTCCCACCTAAAATATGGAAGAGTATGAGCCTCAGTAAAATATAAAATGGTTTCTCCTTTACAGAGTACACGAAACACATGAGATTGCTCATCTTTCTCTATTATACCTTTTCTAGTTTCTAACTTGCTACCTTTATGCCTAACATTCTGGTGGTTGTTGGAATTTCTGAAGAAAATTGGGTAAAAATAATCACAGCCTAAGGTATGTTATGGTTTTGTACTTTTATTTATTGCATTCTAGTACGAAGGAATAGCAATAAGTGTCAATCAAGATACCACTGCAAATATTCTGGCATCCCATAAGATCAGACTTAGTCATCAACTGAAAGTACCATGATTCAGCATAGTTATAGATTAAAAAAAAAAAAAAAAAAAAAATCTTCTAACAAAAGAAATACTAACCTCATCAGTTTGGCTCACGTGAATTTTTTGGCCATTACAAAATGCTCCCCCTCCTGTCATAACACAGATTATCAATCGAAGCTCAACGTCAATAGTACACTTATAAAATCAAATAAGGCTAAGGCAAATATTTAGACAGAACTTCCATACCAGCACTAGCAGAAAAAATGCGGGTATTCCAACACATAGGGCCCCCAACGAACTCTACCTGAAAATATAAACGGAAAACCAACATGTTAATTTTCCACTATGTCAGTCATAGACATTACAGTATAAGATGATTTTTGGTCCACATCCTAACAGTTCGAGCTTTTGAAAATAATGGTAAACATGGCAACAGAGTAAGAGATCCTGAGCTCAAATCATTGCATAGCAACCATGCTATGTAAGTTGAAGACACTTTTTACTCTAATAATGAGGCCCACATGTGAAGGGGAGTACTGGAAAATCAAATAGACATCTTAACATATCATGGAATCATGCAAGCAACATGTCAAATAAAATCTACTATATGTGATCAGTACCACGGCAGCAGCAACAGGTTTTCCTCGAAATAAAACTCCAACAGAAACTGCAAAGCTAGGATAACCATGTGCGAAATTTGTTGTTCCATCTACAAAGATATCAGAGGTTAGATAGAACAAAACTAAGACTTGTCAGGTTACTCTTATAAAAGGTATCTGGATATAAAACGCTACCCCAGCTACTACCCTAAAAGCTCTTTCCAATTTCATAACAGCCATCAGAAAGTTCATCTCTAAACATTCCTATATGTATGAGTATATGAACTTCCGGATATATACATAAACATATATTTACTAATTAAGTAATTTTGCTACTATTAGTTATGGAAAAAGTAAAAGTCAAAAGTATTGAGGCAAGAATTATGAAGGCTGAAAAAAATTTACAGTAAATAATGTTCTGAAACACCAATTTCATGAAACCATATCATACTTGATGGAGTCGTGAAAAACCCAATATGCACAAGCACACCTATACTGCACCTTAGAAGATACTAACCTAAAGGATCAATGCACCACATATAATCAGATGATGCATCTCCAGTTATTCCACCCTCCTCTCCAAGAATAAGGTGATCTTCAAAGTTCTTTCTCACAACTTCTAAAATTGTGGCTTCACTCTTTTTATCTGTGCTGCAAATGGTTTTCATATCACACGAAAATTCATGCTAGGCTGTTATAAGAATGAGAACGGAACACATGCTAAGTGAATTTTCCTTCATGATTAGTGAACCTTGCTTGTAAAAGGTTCAACCTTTACATGTAAGTTTCAACCTCTACATGTAAAGAGTCAAACTTCTAGTCCATTCTAGATAGTGTTATCACTACAAGCCAATTGAAGCATCAAAACATACACACTAATGAAAGCATGTCGATTCAGTTCTTACTCAGTGACCAAGTCCGCTACTCCTTTATAGGTGATATTCCGAGGCTTATTAACAGCATTCATCACAACCTGAAAAGAGACGGAGATAACATAAGCTATAAGAAGTTCATGATGATTCAGTAATGGACAACACGGCAAGTATTACACATAACGCGACGAATCAACATACTTTCTAGCAGCAAAACTATATCATATTATATCACACCGGCAATGTTTTTCTCCTTTAATACCTCTTTTTTGTGGAAATATTTTGACCATGTGTAGTTGCCAACTCCTATCAGGATGAAATTTAACAACTTTCCTTCCCAAACATATATTAAGCGGGAAAAAAAGGCGTTGCCAGAGTAAAATAACACACTCTCAGAGTAAGCAAAGGCATGACCAAAAGCCAACAATGCTTCCAAAATCAAATTACCATACTCAACAGGATTAAAAACAAACAAAAATTCAACCATTCCCCACAAGAATCAAAAGCAAATTCCATCTGGATTCTTCTTAAATTAAATTATTTACGCAATGCCGGCACATTGAATTACAAAAACAGAGCTAAAGAGCAAACCTCAGCGCCAGTCTTAGCGGCCTTCTCAACCACTCCAACGAGCTGACCAATTGGAATTGGTCCGGTTGATTTGGCGCCAACTTTCACATACAGCTCGTGGTTTGGAATTCCAGACAACACGGCCTTTGTGCAGAGACTTCTCGTCGGTTTGGCAATCGAAAGTCCAAATCTTTGAAACCCATGTTGCAATTTTTGCTTTGGATTCAGAAAAAGTGAGTAACTTGGTCGATTGGGAGGTAAAATTGATCTGGGTATTTGAGAAATTCTGAGAGGAACGTTTGTGGAGAAAACCAGGGACCTGCCCATTTGAACTGTATGAAGATTAGGTGCTGGTATTCCTCAGTATTATTTTGCAGTGTGTTTCTGCCACGAAATTTGCTAAAGGTAAAGGGTACCGGGTGAGGAAGGGGGAAGCATATTTTTGTGTTCCACACACTTTGGACACTTGTTCATCCCATTTTTCAACTTTTACCTTTTTCTTTTCTTTCTTTAGCTTAAACATTTATTTGAGCAGACTTCAATTTTCAGCATTATTATAAAAAATAAAAAAAAACTAATAAAAAATATATGAAAACCTTAAATTTTAACGATAAGGACAAAATAAAAGGTAAAGTTAATAGTACCAGGATTGACTTTTTAGTGTAAAAATATGGTTTTTCGTTAAAATGAACAGTACCGGGAGCTTTTCGTTAAAGTTCTCGTATAAATATAGTCCAAAGAAGTTAAAAGTATCTTTGAAAGAGATGTTAAATTTTAAATGGAATGATACGTAATTTGAAGATAGATAGAAGTTCTATCCGATATATCAATTCTACGTGAATTGTCATAAAAATTGTGTGCTACCAATTTTGGCATATAAAAAAATCTTATGCCTTTCTTATATTTTAAAAGTTTTGTTGTGTGAGTTCTAACAATGCAACACCAATCATAAATCATCAAAAATAGTTTTGATTGATTTGTTTTGAAGAGTGAGTTCTACAAATATTAATTGAATAAGGAAAAACATATGGGATGGAGCAGGAAATTTGACATTGCCAAATAGAGGTTCAAATGTGTAACATCTCATATCGTCCAGGGGAATGGATCCTATAAACCTTATATGTATATTCACATCTCTACCTAGCACGAGACCTTTTGAGAGCTCACTGGCTTCGGGTTCCATCGGAACTTCGAAGTTAAGCGAGATCGCGTGAGAGCAATCCCATGATGGGTGACCCACTGGGAAGTTCTCGTGTGAGTTGCCTTAAACAAAACCGTGAGGGCGTGGTCGGGGCCTAAATCGGATAATATCGTGCTACGACGGAATCGAGCTCAGGATGTGATGAGGGCTTGGGGCGGGATGTGACAATTTGGTATTAGAGTCAATCCCTGGGCGGAAGTGGATCATGCAAGGCCTTATATGTATATTCTCATCTCTACCTAGCATGAGGCATTTTGGAAGCTTACTAGCTTCGGGTTCCATCGGAACTCTGAAGTTAAGCGAGAATGGGGCTAGAGCATTCCTAGGATGGGTGATCCGCTGGGAAGTTCTGCTCGTGTGAGTTCCCAAAAATAAAAATGTATATTCTCATCTCTACCTAGCATGAGGCATTTTGGAAGCTTACTAGCTTCGGGTTCCATCGGAACTCTGAAGTTAAGCGAGAATGGGGCCAGAGCATTCCTAGGATGGGTGATCCACTGGGAAGTTTTGCTCGTGTGAGTTCCCAAAAATAAAATCGTGAGGGTGTGGTCGGGGCCCAAAACGGATAATATTGTGCTACGGTGGAGTTGAGTCGGGGATGTGGTGAGGGCCCGTGCTAGGTAAAGACCGTGAGGGCGTGGTCGGGGCCCAAAGCAGACAATATTGTGCTACAGGTGGAGTCGAGCCCGGGATGTGGTGAGGGCTAAAGACCGTGAGGGCGTGGTCAGGGCCCAAAACAGACAATATTGTGCTACAGGTGGAGTCGAGCCCGGGATGTGGTGATGGCCCGTGCTAGGTAGAGATGGGAACTCACACGAGCAGAACTTCCCAGTGGGTCACCCATCTTGGGAATGACCTGACCCCATTCTCGCTTAACTTCAGAGTTCCAATGGAATTCGAAGCCAGTAAACTTCCAAAAGGCCTCATGCTAGGTAGAGATGGGAATATACATATAAGGCTTACATGATCCACTTCCCTAAGCGATGTGGGATGTTACAATACACCCCCATTGGGGGCCCGACGTCCTCGTCGGCACACTTCTGGCCAGGGATTGGCCCTGATACCAAATTATCACATCCCAGCTCGAGCCCCCACCACATCTCGGGCTCAACTCCACCGTAGCACAATATTGTCCACTTTAGGCCCTGACCACGCCCTTACGGTTTTGTTTTTGGGAACTCATGCAAGCAGAACTTCTAGTGGGTCATCCATTCTAGGAATACTCTGGCCCCATTCTCGCTTAACTTTGGAGTTCCGATGGAACACGAAGCCAGTGAACTCCCAAAAGGCCTCGTGCTAGGTAGAGATGAGAATATACATATAAGCATGGAAGAAAATGCCGATAATATCGGCGAAATATCGCCGATATTATCGGTTTTTCGGGACATGGATATTCTAATTGGTATCTGAATGGTTTTCGGCCAAATATCGCGATATTATCGATAATATCGATAATATCGCGATATTTTGGAAATATCGCGACATTTTTTTGAACGGTGCAATCGGACTCTGACCCGAACGTCAGAGAAGAACGCCGGAGACGGTGTGCCTATTCCCGAGCCGATTTCGTCCCAAAAACCTTGCAAAAACACAATTTTTAACTTCAATTTCACATATAAACTTCAAATTTCACGCATGCAAGAGGTAATAAACGATTCAACATATGTGATGTCGGTTTAGGGTTTAGGGTTTCAATGGAATCTCACCTGAAAACTTGTTCAGCGGCGCACCGCCACAGACGACTGAGCCAACTCCGACTTCGCCAGAGCCACGATCAACGGCGGCGACACCCAGATATCAAGAGGGATTCGAGATTGTCGGACTGAGGAGCAGAAGGCCGTGGTGTGTGTGTAGGGGAATGGAGAAGAGAGATCGAGAGATCTCTGTGTGTGTGTGCGCGCGTGGGAGAAGGGAGAAGAGAGATCGGAGAAGGGAGAAGAGAGATCAAGAGATCGAGAGATCAAGAGATCGAGAAATCTCTGTGTGTGTGTGTGTGTGTGGGAGAAGGGAGAAGAGAGATCGGAGAAGGGATAAGAGAGATCGGAGAATGGAGAAGAGATATCGAGAGATCTCTGTGTGTGTGTGTGTGTTTGGGAGAAGGGAGAAGAGAGATCGGAGATCTCTGTGTGTGTGTGTGTGTTTGGGATAAGGGAGAAGAGAGATCGGAGATCTGTGTGTGTGTGTGTGTGTGTGGGAGAGAGAAGGGAGAAGAGAGATCGAGAAGGATCGAGAGAGAGAGAGACTGAGGTCGTGGTCTGCGTGTGTGATGTTTGTGTGCGTGCGTTGTGTGCGTGTGTGGTTGCGTGCCAAGTGTCATTTGTGTGTGTGTGGGGGGGGTTCCTCCTGTCAGGAGGACACATGACTGACTTAATATTCCTGACAAATTTTACAATTATTTTGACAATTTGACAGACTCACTCAGTATTCCCGACAAGTGTTACAATTATTTTGACAATTTGACAGACTCACTTTTACAATTATAATTTGTATTCTTTTCAGACCATGGATGGTGGTTTCATTCAAAACCGTGTGCCGATATTGTTTTAAAAGGTGGAGTATCAGAGCCATTGTGATATTCTTTCAAAGCTGCATTCTTTCAAGAGGTCGAGTATCATAGCCATTCAGAGCCTTTTCGATTATTTTATTTCCCTTACCCCTTTCAAAGTCATTCCAGATCCATTCCAGAGCTTGAACACAAAGGGTTCCATATTTAAAGTAAGTTTACAAACTTATAAATATATTCTTATAATTTATACAACAACAAAAAAATTTGTGTGAACTCGTATGTTAATTTTTTTAAGTAATTAATACTTGCATGTTAGTTTTTGTAAGTAATTAAGTAATGTTAACAATTACATGTTAATTTTTTTAAGTAATTAATACTGCATGTTAGTTTTTGTAAGTAATTAAGTAATGTTAACAATTACATGTTAATTTTTTTAAGTAATTAATACTTGCATGTTAGTTTTTGTAAGTAATTAAGTAATGTTAACAATTACATGTTAATTTTTTTAAGTAATTAATACTTGCATGTTAGTTTTTGTTGAAGGAATTATTTTGTGAAAAACATGTTCATTTAAGCAACATCAATAAGCATGCAATTAACAATTAAAGGCGGAATCATGCTAGCATGCACTTAAAAAATAAAACATTAACCAAGAAATTCAAAGCCTAGTAGATTGGTGAACCATGAATCAACTCAAAACAAAGTGAGTTGAAATTTATACCTTTGTAGATTCCTCTTTGCATAAGCAAAGGCTAATCACCCAAAGAGAGGGCCTTCATTCCTTGCATCTAAAATCTATGGATTTGGATGGAAGAATAGGTTTCTCCAAGTTCCCAAAATAGGGAACCTCTAAGTCTCTTCACCAAGGAGAGATTGGAGAAGAAATGAGTGACCTTGGAGTAGTGGGATTGCAAGATGCACCCCCAAGGTGGCCGGCCTCTTTAGAGAGAAATGGAGAGACATGTTCTCTCCAATTTTCTCCAAAACAAACCCTAATGAATTTTAGGCTATAAAGTCATATTTATACCTTTATTCATTTGAGTGGCAAACTTGTAAATAAGTCTAAGTTCACTACCCTTAGCATCATGGTCGGCCCTAGGGTATTTTTGGGCTAATTAGGCCTTTGTGAATCATTATTCATTAAGTTGTCATACAACTTAAGTCAATGGGCTTGATGTTCGAAGCCCATTGGGCCATAATGTCCAAAACTATCCCGAGGTCTTTAACGAACTTATTCGTTTGATTAATTAACATATTAATTAATCCTTGCCATAAATAAATGATTAAACCATTTAATCATTCTTACTCATCTCCATTGTTTCTTCAATCTCCACCTTACACGGTGTGCGATCCATTAGGTTCCTTTTAGCGAGGCAGTGGGCGATTAAAACCATTTTATATCGATTGTGAATTGAAACTTACTTTCAATTCTCCCTTTAGCGATTACACACGTTTAGGGCTTCCACAAACCATGAGTGACACCTTGCAGCATATCATGGTTACCCAAGCTAATCAGAAGAGGTAGAGAAAACCTATTCAGTTTGGGATTACAAATGCAATACGGTCTTTCTCTAATACAATACTCTTGACCACATTGTTTGGTTTGATAGTTTATTTATTCATGTCTACTATCCAATGTGATTCGTGTGCTTATATGATTACCTTGAATGTGATTTAGAACGACTTTTTTAAATCTCATTCATACTCTGGCCAGAGATTCTAAATCATATCATAGAGTATTCTCCCTCAAACAGTTTGAAGG